TGCGGGGGAAGCTCCGAAGCGGAGGGCCGCGGCCGCTCCGGGGCGGCGCCCACCGGCCGGCACCGGGGCGGGGAGCGGGGCCTGCGCCCGGTCCGGGGCCGCCGAGGGGCTCCGAAGGGATCGGCTTGCGCGCGGCGGAGGGAGGCCGCTCCGTCTTCCAAAAGGTGAAACGCCCGAAGGAGAAGCGCCAGCGGCCGAGGGCTGAGCCCTCCGCATCCCTGCCGGGCACCACGGCCTGCGCACGGCCGCGCCTCACGTCTGCCCGTCATCGCGGCTGGAGGGGCGCCCAGCAACGTGGGGAACCCGCTGTGCGCCCTGCACGGGGCGTGCCTCGGAGAAACGCGTCTGTCGGCGTGCACACTACCAGCACCTTGCGTGCCTTCACGTGTCACCAAGGCATGCAGCGTTCCAGGAGGCTTTATCCATACCTGTGCCAGAGTGCTGCGCCGTATTTGACCAATAATGACATTATTACTTTCGTACTTCGGCTGTCTTAACAGATGTAACCTGATAGCTTCCTCTCAGGGACAGTCTCAGAGGTCGCAGCCTGCTGTGCTTTAACGACTGCTCACCTATTTCTGTACACAGCAGAGCGCTGTAACGGCGTAAGAAATCTGCCTCAGACACCGCGCTGCAGCCGTGCGTGCGTGCTGACTCTGGTGCCCACATTTTATTGCAATATTACATCTCAGCTGTGCTATGTTTTACAATCTCCTCATCTGAAAATGTGGGAATGGGGTGCACCTCTCGCAAAATAGGCCCATAGATTCCTACAGGATTTTTTTTTTTTTTTTTTGGAGGGGGGTCATGTTTTTTCCTGTTATTTTTTTTTTTCCTACCAATTCTGAAGTGAGAAAGGAAAGATTTCCTCTACATCACTTTTCCTAAACCCATAGGCACTTCTTAAGTTAATCCAATCAACTTAAGTCTCACGGGTAATGGGTTTTCACCAATACTTACTGCCAGGTAACCTCACGTTTCACAATCATGCGTTTCAGTGGATTTTCCTTGCTGAGACGACACCGAGTTTTATGTGGAGGATTAATTTGTGCAGCTGTATTAATAGTTTAATGCCCTCACCACCCGTTCTGGGGAAATGCTGAATCACGTGTATGGCACAGCAGGTGGGACCCATCCAGCCCTATCTAGACCTCTGTCATGGAGAAGTCTATATCTAATATAGGCTTCCTTCATACACAGGAAAGAATTAAGCATCTTTAGCGCATGAGTCATGTCATCCTAAAGTGGACGCCTCAAATAGGCCAGATGATTTGTGCCCTAAAATTGCTCCCATTTCTCTGCATTAAAGAGCAAGTTATCTAGATGTCTCCATTTTTGCAGATTGAAGTGATGTAAGATGAATTATGCTCTTATCACATTCATGTTTATACCACGCTTCCAAAATACCTTAAGAATTCCAGTTTGTAAACAGATCTGAAATTAACATTAATTTCTGTACTGTTTTCTATTTATGCAAAGGCAGCTTTTTACAGTTTGCTGACTCAAGGCATTTTAGTAACATTGGCAAATGCCATCTGTCTCACTGGAAAGTTGTAGAACCTCTCATTTACTTGTACAAATCTTCCAATTCTTCATCTGCAGGACTGGGAAATAAGCAGGTTGGTTGTATTGTAGGTTCAGAATAGGATGCCATACTTCTGGTGAAATTGTGCACTGTATAGAAAACAAAACAAAACAAATTCTTATGGCAGTCTGATTTATTATTTTTTTTAAATGACATTCACTATTTGTTATGTGACAATTTCTTATTAATCTCAATGGTTTTGCAGAGTACAGGTGAAATAGTTAAGAAAAAAGAAGTCATGATGCCTGAAGCTTGCCAGAGGTGTCACATCAGCACAGTGTGGGTGAGGAGAATGTGTGCCAGGAACTACTTAAGAAATGCAGGATCCTTCTGACCAGCTCTGCTAGCTGGAGGTAAAATCCTGCACAAAGCTGATGAGGAAGCTCAAGATGAGTCACTGTGGCGGATGCAATCTTTAATTCCAGAAGGGTATAAGGGAAGTGGGTGTGAATCTCTAGTTGAGGGGAGCTGGGGATGCCTCTGTGTCTTGGGGATAAAAGTGTAGGTTTTTAATACAGCCTGAGCTATCAGTGAAGCCATACTTCTGTAAAGGGAAAGTTTGACATTACACATCACACATAGATTTTATGTGAAGCAGGGTTGGAACACCACCTACTCACAGATGGGTATAATTTTGGGGATGTCCTGCATAATTCATGTGTGGCTTTGATACTTATGAGTAATTCAGACATCAAAGCCTCAACTTAGATAACACTTTTATAACACTAAACTTCCTAGAGCCAATAATATGTGGGCTTTCTTTTAAGTTCCCTAAAAAAAAAAAAATAGCGATGCCAATACCTCCTTCTTACCTTCAGATATTTTTCACGAGGTATGCTGGCCTAAAGTACAAGATAGAAAATAATGAAACCTGGCCTAGAGAAAAAAATAAAATAAAATTCCTTCTTTTCCTTTTCTCTGGGGCTGTGACTGTAAATTTTAAGGCACTGGAAGGAGCTCAGCTGTTCCCAGAAGGAGCAGCACTGCAGATCCCAGGCCCTTTGGCCGCTCTGAGATACTCCCTTTTTCTCTGCTAGTGGCACAAGCCTTCACTCCTCAGCAGCCCAATTTCCTAACAAGCAATTTTATGTTCCCTTCCAAGTTACACATTATGCATAGAAAAAGCTTCCCATTAATAACCATAAAGCTGCTTTATTGTTCTCCTTCAAATCTCCTTAAAACTTCCTTCTGCTGCACAACTCTTGCCATTGGCCAAGCCTGTTGCTTTTTATTCTCAACGCTGCTTTTCCCTTATCCTTCCCCCATGTGTCTGTGGTATACACCTGTTGTCTTTCATCATGGGTTAAGATCATAAGCTCTTTGGGCATAGACCATCTCTCTGATTACATATGTCTACAGTATCCAGCACAATGGGACTGTGATCCCCGAGCGGGGCCTCCGGGTGCTGCCGTGATCAAGTTGATAAAGAGTAATGATTTTTGACATGGCGAGTTCTGCAGTTTTTCCCAAGTCATTCTGCAGTTGTTCACACTGATACACCCATTGTGTGTGCGAGGAGTGTCCTTAAACCTGATATATATGGCAAATGCCATGGAACATGACCGGAGACGTCCCTGCTTAGGGGTGGGGGTGCTGCTCTGCTCTTGCATGAGCTGACACAGAGCTGCTGCTCCTGGTAGGCTTGTGCAGGATGGGCAGGAAGGGACCCTGCCCTGAAGCTCCTGAATCCCATCTTTCAGATGGAAATATGGACCAATGGAAGTGACTGAAAGGGTTGGAGCACCTCCACTCCCTGCACATCCTTGGGGGTTTAGGACTCAGCCCTCCCCAGAGATGTGGAAACTGGGAGTCCCCTTCCTTTCTCCCAAGTGTTAAGTTGGGGTGACAAGGGATGATGCAGTGAGGCTGCTGGCTCGGTGGTGGGGAAGCCTGGGAGAACTGTTTCAACCCAGCAGGGAGACGTGCACAGAGTTGAGCATTTTTTAAATACCCCCTTTGTGAAATTCTCCTTTCCCAGGGCTCTGTTTCCATTCTCCACCAAGGGACCTTCCTGGACCCTGACACCTCTGGGGTGCGCATCGTCACTGGCATCGTGCAATCACTCCCATGATACTGCATTTCTTTTTTTTTTTTTTTTTATTTCCTCCCTCTCTCTCCCTTGCAAAAATAAAATAAAATAGATAGATAGATAGATAAATAAATAAATAAAAGAGCCTGTCTTCAGGTTTTGCATTTAATACCAAATAGCCTTTGCGCTGAGCCCGGTCCTCGATCTCTTCCTGAAGGAAGGAGAGAGACCCTTCTGTCCCTTTGCTAATTAATGCAGCTATATTGGAGCGCGGCGAAACAACAATAACATCCATCATCGACATCACAGAAGAAACATAAATCCTCTCCCCCTCTCCCTCCTCCCCTCACCCCGCTTCCAGTGGCTCTCTCCTGGCGGTTTTAAATAACTTCTGCATGCGGGAGGAGAACACTGTTGGCGCCGCGGGGTGCCCCGAGCGCTGCGGGCGGCGGGGGCCTGAAGCTTCGGGGCACCATGCGGCGACACGGAGCATCCCCGAAAATCAGCGCGGGGCACTGCGGGGAGGGCTTTTGGATCGCGGGGGGAGGGGAAACCATGTGGAGTGGCACTGAACCACGCCCCCCCTTCCCCCCCCCCCCCCCCCCCCCCACAAAAAAAAAAAAAAAGATATAAAATTTCTCCCAAACTTCCCATTGGCAGTGCCAATTTGAGTTTGCGCCCCACTTGGGTGTAAATATGGGGAGGGGTCGTGGGGGATGCTGAGTGGGTCCCGAAGCACAGCCCACGGGAAAAGAAAAATAATTCTCGCGGTGGTTTCTTTGTGGTCGGTGCCCCCCCGCCCGCGCTGCCGCAGAGCAGTAAGCGCTGTGCCCGGCGCTGGAAGCGGTTCTGTATTGCAGCAGGTAGGGCTGAGCGCTAGGACCTCGCAGAATCCTTCCAGCAGCACTCAGGACTACCTTAAACCCAGCCCAATGCCTCTTCCTGCGCCACTCTGCGTGCTGGATGGAGATCCACAGTCAAGAGCCGCAGCTCAGTGCTGGAGTACAACATTGCCCAGGGAGCCCTGCAGGAGCAACACCTGTTCCGAGCCAGCCAAGAGAGACACCAGCACTTGTATGGTGCTGCTTTGCTTGTGGATCGGCAATACCCCCAAACCAGTGGACATCTGCTGAGCCTCCTGAGAATTCTGGATAATAGAATTGGACGTCAAAAGTTTTTTTTTTTTTTTTTTAATTTTTTTTTTTTTTTTTTTTTTTTTTTTTTTTTTTGGATTTATCTCAAGCCAACACCGTGAGATCCCCCCTCCCCCTTTGCGGGATTCATGCTGATGTATGCAGTCTGTTATAGAGTAAAAACAGCGCATGCCTTTCTGGAGTCAGAATCCATAAATCCTGACGTAGCCTGTGCATCTTAAAAAAACCCCTCTACCGCCTAGGTATTTAAGTTGCTATGGTCATTCTATTCTTAAACCAAATGGAGAAACTACGGATTTTTTTCTTTATTACAGTTGGATGGGCTGAAGACCTTATTGCTTGCTAAGAGCTGGGGATATATGCGTTTCTATAGATATACACATCTATATGTTTATAAATATGTCAGTGTGTGAGTATAAAGTGGTGGTTTCTTAGACTAACTGGTTTGACCTTGAACCTGTACCAGTCAAAGCAGAATATTACTTTTATTTATGCGTTTAATGGATTGAAGAAAGAACATTCTCTCTGTAACCGCGCTAGGGAGGGGAGAGGAGTGGAATATACCTATCTTATATCTCCTGGGTTTGGCACCATCATTACTGTTTATTCTTATTCTCTAAAAGCAGAATCTTCTGATGGCTCCCTTAGGTGAAGTTGGGAACTATTTCGGTGTGCAGGACGCGGTGCCCTTTGGGAACGTGCCCGCGCTGCCGGCGGACAGCCCGGTTTTGCTCAGTGACCACCTGGGCCAGGCTGAGGCAGGTGGGCTGCCCAGGGGCCCCGCGGTCACGGACTTGGACCATTTAAAGGGGATCCTCAGGCGGAGGCAGCTCTACTGCAGGACTGGATTTCATTTAGAAATCTTCCCCAATGGTACTATCCAGGGCACCAGGCAAGACCACAGCCGATTCGGTAGGTACTCTCCTTAACCCTTGAGGGGTCATGTGATGGAATAACGCGCTGGGACCGCGGGCGGGGTGGGGGGAGGGTGGGCGGCTGGCAGAGGGGCCGCGGCGCTGCCCGGGGGCGAACGGAGCACTGCGGGGTGCGGCGGATGCGGGGCCGGACAGAGCCGGGGGCCGAGCTCCGCTCCGATCCACGCGGGGAGGAAATTTCGCTCGGGACGTCTCTCCGGAGCGCCGCGATTTCGCGAGTTTAAAGGGGCTTTAATCATTAACCGCTCCGATTTAAAACACACCGACTTTCCCGAAGGGAGTGGCTGCCGTCCCGTACGCAAATGCACGAGGCTTTTCCTCTTTCGGTTCCCTCCCGGTTACCTGCCCGGGCGGCGGCCCCCCTCCGCTCGGTGCGGGGCTCTCCTGGCGAAGCGTGCGGGGCTCTCCCGCGGCGATCCCGCAGCCCTCCGCGGCTCTCGGTCTCTCCATGGCTTCGGCGGAGGGCTCCGTACTCTGCCCGCACCCCGGAGCCCGGAGTTGGCGGGGGGGGGGAGGAAGTGAGCTGCCTTGGGGCCGGGGACAGAACGCACCGAAGCGCCTCGGAGCGCCCGGGGGAGCCGGGGCTGTGTGTTACGGAGGGGTGAGGGGAATGCGCCAGGCTGTAAGGCGCGGCGCTCCGCGCTGCGGGAAGGAGTTAACTCGGGAGCGACCCAACCTGACAGCGCGCACTCGGTCGTAAAAACAAAGTCCCGTGGTGAAGGCTTTTTTTTTTTTTTTTTTTTTTTTGTTGTTGAGTTTTGTTTCTGGATGTTCAATTTTTTCTTCCTCTAGTGTTTTAATGCCAGATGTTGAGCGGTATCTAAACTGCCTTTTACGGCTTTGTGAGCCGTGTAGGCGATCGCGGTGTTGCGGGAGGGAATCCCCGCAGGGCGCGGAGGGGCTCTGCGCCCATCTCCGCCGCCCCGCGCACTGGGGGAAGCGGAGCGGAGAGAAAGTGCGCAAAGTGCCCGCGCGGCGCGGAGAGGCGGCGGCACGGCGCGGGGAATGGAGGAATTTCTCACCCACGGTGCTTTTTTTTCCTGACACACGGAGACAGCCGCACAGCACACGCGCACCCGCGCGGGTTTCCCTGCGCTCACACCGCGCATCGCAGCGCGGGGCCGGGCCCGGCAGGTGGAGGGCAGTGCGGCGGCACCGCGGGGCACCTTGGTGTGGGAAGGGGAGGGGGGGGAGTATAGCCGCCGGCTGCTGCCTGCGGGGTGGGGGGGCGTTCTGCGGGACCCTGCCTTTAAAAATGGCTTGGCGGCCACTGCTGAGGGGTTCCGGGGCAGCTCTACTGCACCCCAGGCATTACGTAGATTTTTTTTTTTTAACATTATTTGCCCTCATCGATGTGGTTCCTCGGGCTACGCCTCGGCAATGACTCTCGGTTCTCCCCTCTTGGTGCCCCCCAGCGCGCAGCCGGAGCCGCGGGATGCGCTGGGGCTCCGTGCTGCTCTGCGTGTGGGGACAGGAGCGGCGGTGCCGTACCGGTGCCGTACCGGCGCCGCGGCGCTGCCTCTGTGTCCGCCCAGAGGTGACCCTAGCGGCGGTCGCTATTCGGGTTTTGGGGTGGTGATGTCCGGGTGTTGCCCAGGGAGAGCAGTGAACTCGGAACCTCTGAGCATGTGAGGGAAACCTGCGTGAACGGGGGGTTCTGTTGGGGGGAGGAAGTTTTCCTTCAAGAATAAGGACAAAGAGAACCCCGAGGGCTGCGCGCAAACTCTTCTCGGGGCTCTGTGCGGTGGGAATCCCCCTCCCCGCTCGCGCGCGCACACACACCCCTCTGGAGAGACATCAGATAAGAGCAATTCTTTTGTGATGCGATGTTGGATGCGTGCCTGTGGCATACAATAAGCCGAGCCATGTTGTGTGTCTCTACTCGCCCGGCTCCGGCAGCCCGGCGTTTCGCAATGCCCGTAGCAGCAGCGGCAGCAGCACTCGGAGATGTCCATGTCGGAGGGAAAAGCTCCCCGGGAGGGCACGGCCCGGTTCCCCCCGGAATGCAGTTGTGGGTGATCAAAGCCGTATTATCTCATCTGGGTGACAAAAGGTGTTTTTTTTTTTT